TCCATAAGGACAGTTAGACCGGAAAAATTTAATCTGGGGAAATGCTCTCGAAGTGAATTTGATTCTGGGCAGTCTAAAAGTACATGTTTCTCTGTTTGCACTGACCCGCACGTGCACAGCCTTTCTGTCTCTGGTATGCGCGACCACCTCCCCGTTTCTATTTTTAACCTGTGTGAACCTAAACGGATTCTTGTAAAAGCGATGCGCTCGTTTTCAGGTACATTTGCCTCATACATACGGTGTCGCGCGACATTCTGATTTAACTCACGGTATGTTGTCATTCGCGTCGATGTTGATTCTAAAATTTTACAGCGTAAGGTTTCCATGTTTCTTTCTCTAAGTGACCCGATTTCTTCCGTTTGTAGGGAGTTGACATAACGGCCAGCTTGTGAGCCGGACTGCACTGATAAATGCATGGCTAACTGGGCGGGACTGCCCTCGAAATCATCTCGTGATGTCAGCTTTCCTAGAAATTTAATTTGGTTCTCTTTAATCACTGTCTTTAAGTCTGGGTATCCCAACTCTGCGTGAACAAGGTCACTGCTTGTCTGATTTCTGACTGACAATAGCTGTTTTTCCGCGGACAATACCGCCGTCGAGGCATGCTTAAAATCGTTGCAAAGCCAGCTTTCACAGCCATACAGTATTGCACTACAGAGAGCACTTTTGAATACCATCTCCTTGACAGGAAATGGCGCGTCTTTGTTTTTCTTTAAAAACGCGGAAAATTTCACTAAATGACTGCGCTTAAAATCTATGTGGGCTTTGACTTGATTACGCAAAGTTGCATTGCTGATTGGTGTTCCAAGATAAATGTACTCATCTGTGTGACTGATGGATACGTTATCGAAAACAAAAGGAACAGTGTCCCCTGCGTTAATCGCCATAAACTTTGACTTCTGCGGGTGTATTTCCATTCTAATGGTGCCAACTTCGCGGTGCAATAGTGCTAGCTTTTGTTTCATGGCATCTCTGGATGTGGCTAAGACAACTGTATCGTCCATGAATAGCAGCGAATGGGTGTTACTGAGAAAACCGTCAGGTCCAAACGTCTTTATGGCTCTGACCGTACTGTTGATATAGAAAGTGAAAAGGGAACAGCTGTTTGCTGCGCCTTGTTTTACCCCAACCGAAGACGTAAATAAACCTTGCCCTAAGGCATTTTTGCTAGCCTGCAGACTGTTAGCCACTGCTGTTAGATATTTCATGCCGCACCCCTGATCAGCCAGTTTCTGCAATAGAATGCTACGATTCAACTTATCATATGCCTTGATATAATCGATGTACGCGATATACAGCGTTTGTTTCGTTTTCTGAGCGTAATCGATCAGTAGCCTTAGCGTGAATAAGTGCTCTGCACAGCTTCTGCCCGGTCTACCACCTGCCTGCTCGTCGTCAGGCTTGTACCACTGAACGAATCTATCGTTTAGAATTCCGTCATACACCTTAGCAAGGGCACTCTGAATGCTGATTCCGCGATAATTGTTGGCGTCTGAAGTGTCGCCTTTTTTGAAAATCGTAAAAACTTTCGCGAAAGACCACTGTTCTGGAAAAGCTCCGTTAAAAACCATGTTAAACATATAGGTTACGATATTCAACCATTCTCCATCAAGAAGTTTAACAATACCTGGCGGCACACCATCAACTCCTGCAGCTTTATCACGACGTAACCTCATTATAACGTCTCTCACTTCGCGGGTGGTGATCGGATCGTCTAGAACCGGTACGTACATGTCATTATTAGGCACAACTATTTTAGTCTCACCGGGCGAGGGGTTTAATAGGCCTTCGAAATGACGGCAGAAATGATCGTCACTGGGCGCATTCTCGCCTGGACTGCGTGTTTCTATTTTACCATTCCAGTTAATTGAAGACCAAATAAGCTTCGGATCTCGCTTATGTAACAGAATCTGCCATCGTGACTGTGCATCATAAGCCACCTGAGCAACACCAGATGGGGCCGAACGGTCACTTCGCTGCGCGGTGCGGCATACCTCATACAGTAATTCAGTCAATGCGTTACACAAGTCATCTGCCGACTGGGGTTCACTATTTGCGGTGCTCTCGCACATGCTGCGCCACCACAGAACAGGGTCGGGTAGTGCTGCTCTGGCTCTCTCCTCATCGATGGAGTTAATGTGTACCGGCTTGCGTGCGATATTTGGTCTACTACACTGCTGTGGGTATGAATCTAGTAACATGGCTCGCTCAACGATACTATCTATGGATTGCAATGGACATGTCAATACAGTTCTCAAGGCAGCGTGATCACTACAAAACGGCGCCTGTTGGTCCACTGCGAACTCATTCACCATGTGCAAGAGTTGTGCTGAAATAAATAACCAATCAAGCTGCGAGATCCAATCATCGCGCTTTCTAAACGTTTTCCTGCCCTCGAAACATCTAGCTCCGTAACTGAGATGGTTTACAGGGTACACGGCTGTGTTTGAACACATGTTTAACAATATACGGCCATGCGAATTATCACCATTATCTATGTTCTGTGAATACGAAATACCTAGCGAGGCATCGTTCAAGCGCTGTAGTGACGACATTCTACTATTGAAATCGCCAATCATTACAACTTTGTGGCCGGTCTCTATGATTTGACTCTGTATGTCACTGAATGAAGCTGGACTGAAATAAGGTGAGTCGGCTGGCGGTATGTATACCGCTCCTATCCGAACATCTGGCATGAACGATAAACTGAACCACACTTGATCGTACATTAAGCGCTTTGCAAAAACACTGGACCACAATCTGTGCTTTATCAATACGGCCACCCCTCCCCTTGCTGACCCACATCCATTCCCTCCTCCCGGCTCTGCACTCCTGATGATCTCGAAACCTGGCACGGAAAACACATAGCTACATTTTATCTCCAGCAATACAACGATGTCAAATCGCTCCAGGTATGCCAACACCGTTTTGCTTTCCAGTCTCGACAGATGTCCATTAATATTTACAGACAGCACATCGAGTGTTTGAGTTTTATCCTCGTTTCCTCAGAAGCTAGTGACCTGGTAACTGTCGACCACTACGTCGTCAACATACACCTTCCTCTCTCTGTAGTCGTAACGCACGTTTTTACCTTGGTTTTCTGGCCGCTCCTTCTCCCTCTTGGTAGCGTCTCGCAGTCGATCCAGCTCTTTCCGTACGATCGGATGGACGTCCTTCTTCACGTAGATGGAGCGGAAGACGGCGTCCTTTGTTTTGAGCTGGTGTGCGTTCTCCAGCACCGTTTTCCTGTCGTCGGTGTTCGCCAGGACGACTTTGATCGGCCGCCGGTACGGTCTGGAGCCGCCAGCGGCAGGCGCGCGACCGTCTTGACGTTGGTTGCCCAGTCGCTCTACGCTTTTCACTGGCACGCCGGACTGTCCCATAGTCGCCAGCACCAGGTTCACCTTCGCTCTGTCGGTAGTCGCTCCTCCCATGTTATCCTCCGGGACGCCGGTAATGATGAGGTTCGCCGCCCTTCGTTCCGCCTCGATCGCCTCTAGCATCTTCTGATGTTGACCCAGTGCTACGGTCATTTTGTCTTTGTCTCTGCGTAGTTCCTTTATTTCCTTTTGCATGGCTTCTTTCTCCTTGTTCCATTTTGTAAGGAATTCGTCCAGCTTGGCTTCGATTCTTCCCATCTGTACCACAGTTGGGCCGGCAGCTGTGTCTTCTGTTGTCTCGTTTATGAGAGTGCGCAGAGCAAACTGAAGCTGGTCCTTGTTGAGTTTGCGTAACTCGGCTGGGGTCAACCTCCGCACATCCTCGCTGGCCGAGAGGTCCTTATCGGCCATGCTACGCTGTCGTCCTCAGCCGGTCTCACAGGAACCAGCAGTACCGCTCTCTGCCGCCAGGTGCGCTGCTGGCGCTGTAGTTTGTAGGCGGCGGATTATAGTGTTGGCATCGCCATCCACAACCAAATGTGAGGAACTGATAGTTTCATTTAAGAGCACATGAGCCAAGCTGCGCCGATAGCGAGTCAAGACTCGCCTGCTGCGAGTCAAGCCGTCTACTATGTAAGTGAGCCATGCGGACACGTTTCGCGTTAAAGCTATTGTTAGGCATGCGCATTTAAATGCATTATTCAATTGGTTTAAGGTTAGCTATGCTGTTAGTTAAAACAAGCTCATCGAGCCTCTAGTGTAACACTGACATTTTGGGTGTCGAATATTTGATGAAATACATATACTACAGTAATATTCATTGCTAAGAATAGATCTAACTCAAAAGCCTTTTATGTCTACAAACTGCTTGTGTAAAAAAAGACACAACCGCTCCGAGTCCACAGATCTAAGACATCGGACATAAACTGTTCCTTCCGTTCAGAAATCGTTTACCGCACCCATCCCTGACCCATTTGGCGTGAGCGAAACCAATTACAATCGGCTCTGTTCCGAATCCAGCGATATGAGTACTAAGCCCGGGATCGAAATTAAGCCAGATACCACGAGAGCCATGAGCCCTGTTCAATCGCACCTTTCGCGAGCGTGATCCACTGTGGCATTCTGTAAATGGGACCAGAGAAGCGGTTCATGTTAGTCCACTGGAAGATGTTTCATGCTAGAGATGCAGTAGTTTTGTCTTAAATAATTATTTTGCTTCTACTTCATTCGGGCAGCTGCGTATGTGTCTTCACCTGGTGCAGATCTGGTCTCGTTCCACTCCAATCGAACGTTCCCTTTCGGTATTCCGGCTGGTCTGCGTCTACTTGTTGCATATAGGTATGACTCGCTCCCTGGTGGAGGATATTTTGCATACCGCGAGCATCTGCCAGAGACGTTCGCCAGTCCTTCACTGGCCGCTGGGGAGGGTGAAACGTGCCCTCCACTGGCCCCTGGGGTGGTCGGGAGGCGCCTCCCGAGTCACACCGGGCCGGGGGCGCTCCCTGGCCGGAATACCGGCGGCACCATTACCGGAGGAAATGGTGTACCTGGGAGTGCTGCGGCGTCACACAGGTGATGTACGGACAGCAGCTACATTCAGTAACTCACCGCAATAGCTAGTTATATACAGTCCCGGAACTAAACGGGTAGTTTATTTGATAGAGACATATGCATACAGTTGTAAGATCGTCATGTAGGTATAAGAACATCATTGGTGTGCGAAATAACTGTCACTTTTAGGTCGCACACATATATAAATATTCAGCTAAATATCCTACGTATTGACTAAGATCAAATATTAAGGGTCAATTATTCATATGTATTGCCTTCTTGAGTGATTAATTGTAAAGCTGCCTAATGATACACGAGTAAATTACGCGTATGCATACACCTAAAGGAAACAATAAGTCAAACATGAGCTTTTAAGCGCAGATCGTTGCTCATTCCTCACGGTTCTGCCAGTCCTCGTCGCCCATGGAGCTGAGGTTGGCGCGGGCCACCCGCGACTTGATCCTGTCGATGGGGGTGGTGTGGTCGTACAGTAACGGCGCCTGCAGCAGGATGCCGCACGTGCCGCACGCACAGGCCACAGTGAACAGCCACATGAACAGACGGTCAAGAACCATGGCCACGTACCGCCAGTCAGACTCCACCTGGGGAGAGAGGGACAAAGTGTCAGACTCCACCTGTGGAGAGAGGGACAGACTGTCAGACATTATATGGGACAGGAACAGATAGTCCAGTCAGACTCAAACTAGGGAAAGGGACGGACTACCAGACTCTGCCGGGGAGAAGGGCAGATTTTCAGACTCACCTGGGGAAAAAGTGGTGCAGAAATGAGGTTAAACAGAGACAACTTGTAACAGAGACTGGCGGTCAATATTGATTTAGAGGACTGCTAAATACATTACTAAGCACTGACTATTTACTTTTTCATCGATCTTTACCGCCGCGGATAATCTGTCAGCACTCGCTCACCTCTTCAAATGCGTCCAGATTGTTGATGCGACTGGCTATGGTGTTCACGTTCTGCAGCGCTTTCTGTAGATGTTCGTGTTGAGCAATAAGGCTCGTTACGGGTCGAGAGGCTGATGGAGCCGACCAGCCGTCAGGGGAGGTCACTGATTCCAGGGAGCCGGGACGGAGAGCGCTGGGCCCAGAGGGGCAGCGATGAAGGGTGCTGGGTCCGGGGGAGCTGACATAGGCCGTGCTGGGTCCAGGGGAGGCAGCCCCGAGCCACGGAGGGCCTGGAGAGCCGCAACTGGGGGGCTGGGACCAGGGGGTGTCGGGGACCGGTTGGTGGCGAGAGGGGCCTGGCTCAGACGGGAGGTGCGCGCTCAGGGCGGGACAGAGCTGGTGGTGCTCTGCAGAGCGGACCGTCAGAGGCGGCAGCTCGACACCAGCTCCCTCCAGCTCGGCCTGTGTCTCCGACTCGACCTCGCAGAGCTCGTGGAGCGGTGGCTCGGAGGGCGCTCTCTGCGGGCGGCGGATCAGCAGCAGAGGCGGCAGCCACTCCAGCAGGACCCGGCGGGCTCGTGACGACAGGCGGTGGGTGCTCGGCGAGCGGTACCCGATGTTCAGCACACAGATGGTGCACCCAACCGACAGCGTCACCAGCACCATGGTGAAGAGCAGGTACTTGCCGAGCAGCGGCACCGCCAGAGACGTCGGAGGGATGATCTCGGCCAGCAGTAGGAAGAACACGGTCAGCGACAGCAGGATCGAGATGCACAGGGTGACCTTCTCGCCCGAGTCGGACGGCAGGTAGAACACCAGGATGGTCAGGCAGCTGATGCCCACGCAGGGGATGATGAGGTTCACTGTGTAGAACACGGTTTTGCGCCTCATGGTAATGTTGAAGGAGATGTCGATGTAGCGACTCTCCTTGCAGCAGCTGTTGTAGTAGACCTTGTGCCGGTGCGCGGGGACCTGCATCAGGTCCCACTCGACGCTCAGGTAGTAGTCGTGCAGGTCCACGCCGTATGGAACTACAGAGTCTAGCTCGGACTCGTTGGTATGAGCCGCGTGACGTAGGTCCAGCTGCCGAGCGGAGGCGCATGCATACGTCAGAGTCATCTTAACATCTTGAATTGCATGAGAACCAGTGAAACAACACAGTCGAAATGGACGACCTTTTACCAGGATGAGTTATATGAATACGCTAGAATGTTTGTTTTATATTTGTCGCAGCTTAAGTAGATATAGTTGGAGAACTGCGAACATCCAATATAACTACTTTATCGACACCTTTTTTTAAACCCCACATTTGTTCTCCCGTGAAGTTCAGACAAGTTGTTTAGAAACCTTCCAAAAAGGTACAGTCACTCGATTTTTCTCAAGTTTGTCTGTCTTGGCAGATCAAGCAATGCCAGAGCAAGCTCACGAACACACAAATTTGATCAGGATCGGACGATTGGACACTTCTAAAAAGAATTCTTTCGTGCTTCCCGGAAATTCACCGGAGAACAGATGTGGGGTTTAAAAAAAAAAATGTGTCGTTATGTCAAAGTAATGTTTGCTTTTCGGTCTGAGACGTTCCGCGCGGCAAGATGAGGTCCCTGACCGCAGTTACGCACATTGTTATCATCGTAGGTCCAGCTGCCGAACTTCATGATGCAGTTCTGCTCGTCGAAGGGGAAGTACTCGACGTCGATCTGGCAGTAGGATTTGTAGATGGCCGGCGGCCTCCAGGACACCCTTCCGCTGGGGGACAGCTCCGCCTTGGTGTTGTTGATGGTGATCTCGTAGTTGCCGTCAGCACTGCTGGCCGGCGAGGACCAGTGTCATCGACAGCTGGGGTAGAACCGCATGAATGTACTCACTGTTACCTTTAGCTTGCCATGGTCTATAAAACCTCCTACTTGTTCACCCAACAGGCCCCTGTCTCCCTTGCTCGTTGCTTTCTGATCGTTGCTATATTACAAAACTATTTAACACTTAATTTTCCACAGGTCCATTTTGGAAGCATTTAACGTGAATTACTTGCTCACGCGGTTATGCCGTTCGCGATGTTTTTTTGTTCTTTTGTCCATTCGTCGCCTTCTCGGCATTATTTTCTCCTTTTCCAGGCCACAGAAGGTGCCAAAGGCGATGAGCCGGAAAACCAGAGGAGAAGGGAATGATGGAGGGTAGATGGCCCTCTGCAGGCCGCGACACCGCGCTGGCACGCAGAAGACAAATGACAACTAAATGGTGTCATCTTCTTTCCTTATCGTTATCCCCGTGCCACAGACCAAAGGTTGTCCTTTTTTTGGACTGAAGAAAGAAGAAAGTGTTATTAGATCAAACCTATCCTATTTCGGCATTAAGGGGAAATGTTGCTCGGTGCTCTTGCTATCTTATATGGCCTTTGAAATTGAATGCTAATGGTACCTATAACGGCACGCGTTAATTTCTTTCAGCACGTCCTGATCTGATTTCATGTCTGCAGCACGCCTCCAGCCGCTGTCCGTGGCTGACTGTGCGGTCCACCGCTTTACCCACTTGTTGTAGAGGACGATGTCGGGGAGCCAGATGTTCTCCGAGGGCACGTAGAGCCGGGTGGTGTTGCCGTACTCGGCCGGGTCCCAGGACAGCTGGTAGTCCGTCCACTCCTGTGGCATCGGCGTCAGCATGGTCAGACGGGGCTCAATAAAGATAAACACTGCACTTACAGGAAATGTGACTGACATCCTAAATGGGAAAAGTAAGGATACGTACACTGTTGCCAATAAAAAGTAAATTTTACTATTTTATCAGAGCCAGTTGTTGCCCACGCAATAGAAGGGGCAATCCGGCTACCCGGGAGGAGATAGCTAGGAACCCTGACCCACCCCTCACCCCACCCTTTCGAGCCAAAGAAGACGACGGACACTGCAAGACAACGGACGGACCAACAACGAAGACGGACGACAGAACCGGGCCCAAATACAGGACGCTGTGGTGGCCCGTAAGCCAAAAATACCAGCACCAGCACCAGTTGCCCACGCAGATCCAGTTCACAGTTCACACACTTCTTGTTTGTGGATGCCCAACTACATGTTATGCCTGTTACTTTTAGTAGATATATCTAAATACATCGTATTTCCTAAAGGTTTTATTGTGGAATTATTAACCCTTAGGAAACATTATGCATTGAAAAATGGAGATACATAAGCTCTAAAGGTGTACGATCGACTGTATTCTATGTGGGAAGATGAAATAAATGACGACCTTACAGAGCATTGTACCGAATAGTTTTGAGAAATGGCAGAGAACCGTTTGGAATGAAAGTCCGTAATGTTACGGCTGTCATCTTTTCTGGCAAGAACCATTCAAACACGGTACGTTGGACGCTGTTATTTGTCAGCAGATTCACGATCGAGTGCATCGGTTCTTTGACGTCTCCCTGTCCCATGGCTCAAATGACATGGGCGGATAGTCAACATCGATATTCCATCGAATCACTGCACAAAAGAAGAAACTATTGGCGCCTTTGAATAGCCGCATCCGTTCAATACGGCAGTAGAGCGCCTCTATACGATGTTGTGGAGCTCGGTTTGGGCTAGCGTGATTCGTTCTGGTGGCTCTGCGATAAGAGGGAAGCGATAATGACCAGCACTGAAAACAGTTATTGTTTAAAAACGCGGTGTCTGAAAGGTTTTCATGATTAATTAAATATAATAAATTTAAAGTAACAATGGTTATCACCTAACTCGTTTACATAAAATAGCCATGACTTGTGCACGGATCAAAATGGGGAAAATACTTGGAAATAGTCAAACTCACCTGGTCCACCCAAACACTTGTAGTCATGATTTGATTCTTCATATCCTGAAAAGATGACGCATTGTCGATAAAAAAACAAATTTATCGTTATTGCAGTGGACTCGAAACGTGAATCAACTATGCAGGAAGCAGAACTATACAAGTGCATGCCGGCCGGCATTTCGTTGTTCAAGACAGCAAATATTTGGGGGTGTATAAATGTGATATTAGGTATGAATATCGAAGCTATACAAACATCTTTAGATTTAAATACTTGTTTTTTCATCTTATGCCGTTTGTAAAACGAAACAGTATGGTCAGGGTTGTACTCTGCGCCAAAAATTATGTTTTATGACATATATAGTAGTTAGTTATACCATCACGGATTCAAGAAGGCTTAGCAAAGGCACGACATACATATTCAGTTCATCCAATGTTTTCTCGATGCAAGGAAAACGAAAAAAACAGGATCGTTACGGCCGAAATAGTCAAACAATGGCCCTTATGCAGGGGCGGATCCAGAAAATCTCCAAGGGAGGGGCCATTAGAAACCAGGAGGCCCCCCCCCCATAATCCCACCTGTTGGAGGCCCCATCTTCCCACTTGTTGGGCCCCCCCCCAAAAAAAACTGCGTCTATTGAGCTTATCTAGCTGTTCAGGCAACATCTCAACATCTGTGCAGGCTTGGAGGCCCTCTGTGCAGGTTAGGAGGCCCTGTAAAAGTGGTCATCTCTGTGAGTATAAGAGACCTCCAAGTTATGAAAAGCTTTACCAATCTTCTAACAAAGAAGTCTTCTCAGCTAGTCTTCTAAGAAATAACTAAGTGGGTAGGTTAAAAAAAAAAAAAACTCATCGGATTTCGGCCACTTTATTTTCAGGAGGCCCCCTTTTCAGCTTTTTAACTTTTTAACTTTTTATTTTATTTTTGAAAAAAAAAAATCGGCCAAGGGGGGGGGCCATGGCCCCCATGGCCCCCCCCTTGTATCCGCGCCTGCCCTTATGAACTCTTCTCTGAAAAGACTGCCGACTGGCATTAGATACTCATTTTGAATTCATGTTAAACAAACTTCGCGCGGAGTCCTGATTCAAACACAGAAGTATTCGAGTTTTATGTTTCTCAGCTCAACAATGCAGCAGTTTCCAGGAAGGAAAACACTGGGACTGTAACGAAAAATTCCAATGTATGCAACAGTGAAGAATCAAAGCAGCAGGGAAAACCCTCACTCTAAACGTGACTCCATACGAACCACATCAATCAGCTGGGAGAGCCTGAGCCGCATCTTGACCGTGACCATGTCGTCATGGCTGGGAACGGGACGCGCCAACCTATTGTAGGCGAACAACAGGTCGGCGTACAGGCGGTCCATGTCCTTGGTGGCCACGGTGGGAGCTGGCAGCGGCAGCACCGACAGCAGAAACCATAGCGGCAGCAGTGGCAGTGATAGCGGCAGCGGCGACAGCGACACTGAGCGAGACATGTCCCGGAATCGAGCCCGATTTGTCAAAGTCAGCCTGCTGTGGTTATCACTCCATGATTTCAGTTGGGAGAAGATTCAGTCTTTTTTTTTCTCCAGCTGCCTGTGATGCGATGAGCCTCAGCGGCGCCTGTTTCCGTGTCTCCGGTCCCGGCGGTGTCGGTGTCCGTCTGACGACGTGTCGCCGAGGGAGCGCACCTCTCACACCACACCCACCGCACCTCTCAGCCCGCTCCCCGCCGCACCTCTCAGCCCGCTCTCCACAGCACCTCTGTCAGACTGGACCGGACGAGACAGCGCTGCCTCTCCCCTCCCCGGCACGGCACCTGCGCTCAGTAGCACTGCGCTCAGTGCGCCGTGAACTCGGTGTGACTGATCGGTGGTCACTCGCCGACAGTATATAGCGCAACAGGGCGCTGTTGGACGAATAGAGTGGAACGCCAAATGGTTCGATTGGCTTTTTTCGTTTTATTATCATTGCTGTGTTTCGGTGCACCATAGCAGTCAAGTGATGCAAGTTCTTTTCAACATTATGGATCACGTTATTACGCAGAGGCCAGAGCATCTTTTTAACCCGCGCCCTGCTGGGGAGGGGGGTGTTTGAACACCCCCCTTGTGGTTTTTCGCGAATATCTCAAAAACGACGGCGCGGAGCGCCGCCGTTTTTGGTACACCTTATCATACATCAATTCTACACATGTTGTGAAAATTTCAGACCAAGGTCATTCAAGGTCAGGTCACCAGGTCACTTGAAGTGACCTCACCTAATAAAAAGTTTCAATGTCTGTCATAGCTACACCGAGTGACCGATCGCTTCGAAACTTTCAGCGATTGCTAAGAGCAATAGCATGTACAAAATATATATCTCAGAATTTTGATATCGATGACCTAAGGTCAGGTCAATTTTGCGACCTCCCCATTATAAGTCAATGGGAGAAAATTGAAATGCGCTTCTTTTGGACGAAAGACATTATAAACACTCCCAAACACTGAATTGCAAGTGGTTTAGACACACTGAACATGAAAATGGTGTCCGTGACCCCTGTTTATGCCCTGAGGTCATCTTAGGTCACGAATGATATCTAACAGTTTTTCGCAAATAACTTTTGATATAGGCATGCTAGAGCGATGAAAACGCCTTAGATGTGTTCAGCTCGACGATACGGATCGCCTGATATGCAACATGACCCTTTCCGGTCGTCAGGTCATGACCTTGACCTGAGGTCAAATTTTCAAGTTGACCTTTCAAGGTCAAGTTATAGTTCATTCGATGCGTCTTGACGAGAGGAACACGATGCCGGTAAAAGTAAGCTCGTACAAGGCTTGGGTCAAAAGTTATTGCAGAAAAACTGTTTCCGAAAAAATCGGCTATTTTTGCAGTTTTTGCCCCCTGCAGGCAAAACCGTTGACGTTAGGTCAAATCTGAGAGAATCACTCAGAAAGGGCGTTAATAGGGCTATCGAATACGCTTTTCCGCGGCGCTGTAGCTCTATTGGTTCCCGAGTTATGCGTTGGCTTCTTGGAAATTGTCGACATTCGACCTGGAAATCGGCGAAATTTGGCCTTCAATGACCTCTGGTGACCTGACCTTTGACCTGACCAAAAAATTGACCGAAGTGATTTCGTCATTATTTTTGACGCTCTTTCGAACGCCGCCTTCCGCGTATCGCTACGTGGCCCAGGAGCCAAGTTAGAAGGGGGGTGTTCAAACCCCCCCCCCCCCAGCAGGGCGTGGAAATCCAGGACCCCCAGCCGGGCGTGGGTTAAATCTAATGGTTTTGCTTTGGAGAATTGCTGCACAAAACAACATCTTGAAACAATGAAACTGAACCATCCCCAAACATGAATAAAGATCTCATTTCTTCACTTATATCTGTTCTTTTTTATGTTATTCATATATTGAACAAAATACTTGATAGACAAGTCTCTGAAGAGCAGCATGTGTATTTTGGTGACTTCACGTTTCACATTCATCACATCTTTTATCAGACAGCGCCCAAAAACAAAGCAAAATAACTTGAGTGCATGTTGTTTTTCGTAACATTGCAAGTACATAGGTAGGTAGCACTTGACCACCGAATTGTTATATTGCACTCGTTTTTTTCTGATTTCGCCTTAGCATCAGGTCATGATGCCACAGCGTGCCATGGAGTCGCCGCATTGCCATGCTGTATCGCAGCGCAATATTGAGCCGCCACATCTGTATGCTGTTGCCGTGTGTCGTTACTGGAGCGGCTGGTTAATAAAGTGTACCGCAGTGTTCCATTAATTCCTCTCACTGAACACTGCACCGCATGGCGATAGTAACAAGACTTACTGCCGTAAACTTATCTGTGCTGTCCTTTTAATATTTACAATGGTTTCAAACTACAATTAACATTTGTTGATTATGTAAGGACATATGTATATTTGTTGTTCCACTGAAAACTTCAAAATAAAACCAAGCCTAAAAAAATCTAACTTAGAGTTTGATTTTTGTACTGTAGAAATTTGTATCCACAGTAACACAAGCTAAGGAGTTCAGACTGTGATATCAACACATCACGACGGCAATCTTATTCTCGTTTGGGCGACCAAAGACCGACCATAACGCACGACCAAGGAGCATGGTCACGGGGCGGGACGCGGTGGCGACGGGTGAGTTGCGACGGTTGAGGCTGGGCACGTGCGGAGGGGAGAGGTGGGGGTGGGGTCGAGTGGCCACTCTGATGTCGGCGGACCATGCGCCGACTGATTGAGTGGCTACTGATGAGCCCGAGCGTGCACCAGCGCCGTCAATAAACGCCCCTGACCTCGCCGGCAGGGACCCTTACCGGCACTTCCTGCAGAAAATGGCCCCAGTGCCAGGCGGGGAACAAGTGCGCGTGAGGAGTGGGCGCTAAGAAAGCTGTTCAAACAAAGTTTCTTCGTGATAGTGGCAAAGTGGTGCCCGTAAGAAAGAAGCAACGAGGCTTTAGCTCGTGCTGCTGATAACCTATATGGCAGAGGTAATGAACTGAGGTAACTAGAGCTCATACCATCGGGGCCCATCAAGTTGTTGCATCCTTCATTGTTCGATCACTCTTAGCCGTTCGGTCACTCAAATGCAAGCCCACATGCCCACATTTACAACCAAAATAACATTGTTTTCTTAGTCCTGAGTTATTTGAGCGGTTAACTAAAAAGTTGCTTTACAGTTAGGTAAAAGGCAAATCATTTTCGAATAGTTTCGTCGTGTCTTGCCTTTTTGCACATTGCATTTTGAGCGTACATTTGAAAACGCGAACTTTTTGAACAGGTTTCTAGGCGCAGTAAAATCGTTTTAGACTATGTTACAGATGTGGAGAAATATTTAAAGCGGCTGCTATGTATGCGACAAACTTTTTTACGTTGAAAAAATATGTTATCGAAAAAACCCGCGGCAAGTTTTAGACTTAAAATTGGTGTATTTGTCTTAACTTCGTGTTCGAGAGGTGCTTTATACATATAACTTATAAGAGCAGTAAGCTCGCGATGAATGATGGCTGATGTGAGATGCCATGTGACGCGCTTTTCATGCATTACTGGACCAGCGTCTCTCTCTCTCTCTCTCTCTCTCTCTCTCTCTCTCTCTCTCTCTCTCTCTCTCTCTCTCTCTCTCTCTCTCTCTCTCTCTCTCTCTCTCTCTCTCTCTCTCTCTCTCTCTCTCTCTCTCTCTCTCTCTCTCTCTCTCTCTCTCTCTCTCTCTCTCTCTCTCTCTCTCTCTCTCTCTCTCTCTCTCTCTCTCTCTCTCTCTCTCTCTCTCTCTCTCTCTCTCTCTCTCTCTCTCTCTCTCTCTCTCTCTCTCTCTCTCTCTCTCTCTCTCTCTCTCTCTCTCTCTCTCTCTCTCTCTCTCTCTCTCTCTCTCTCTCTCTCTCTCTCTCTCTCTCTCTCTCTCTCTCTCTCTCTCTCTCTCTCTCTCTCTCTCTCTCTCTCTCTCTCTCTCTCTCTCTCTCTCTCTCTCTCTCTCTCTCTCTCTCTCTCTCTCTCTCTCTCTCTCTCTCTCTCTCTCTCTCTCTCTCTCTCTCTCTCTCTCTCTCTCTCTCTCTCTCTCTCTCTCTCTCTCTCTCTCTCTCTCTCTCTCTCTCTCTCTCTCTCTCTCTCTCTCTCTCTCTCTCTCTCTCTCTCTCTCTCTCTCTCTCTCTCTCTCTCTCTCTCTCTCTCTCTCTCTCTCTCTCTCTCTCTCTCTCTCTCTCTCTCTCTCTGCCTCACTTAATTAATACATTGCTATCTAAAAGCCAAATTTGAGTCGTTTTCTTTCACCATCGGGATCTTTTCTTCCTGTTGTTGAATAACCACTTCTGCTCTGTGTTAATCACAAAAGTTGTCGCCCAAATAAGTCTGAATGTGTTTCTAAACACACCTGAAGTAGTGCGCCTTTGAGATATTTGTTGAGCCCTCCGCTAGTCGCACAATAAAGCGCCGGAAAAATCACAAAATCGAGGTAGTTTCGTTGCTCGATTATGCATGCTGTCGGAAAACGTCTCAAAGGCCCGCACACCCAGATTAAGGCTGATTAAACTCTGATCGTTATTCTACAAGCGAAGTACTGTCCCGAGTCCTTTCACGCTCCATTGGCCGATCTGGGCGGCCGTGCTCCGTAAATAGCGCTCTGCGTTGGAGGCTGCGGGCCCGTGAGATCCTCCCGTCGGTATCACGATCGATGGTACGGGACAGGGCCTCCTCTAACATACCCACTGGGTGGGCAAATGCCCACCCAGTCACCACAATTGCCCACCCAGTGGCGTCGATTTGCCCACCCAGAAGCAAATGCAAAAATCCGGATCCGGCCGGACGTCCGGTACCTACTACTTACCTTTCTGGTCTTAAGCAAACTGGATGCTGTTTGAAGGTAAAAAAGTTTTCTGGTTGCCCGATATTCAGGGGCGTAGCCAGGATTTCCTCAAGGAGGGGGCCAAACGCACAGGGGCCCAAAATAACCCCCTCAAAATCCCAAAAGCCATCCAGTTGCATCCAATATTTTTTGGAGGGGGCCCAAATAAATAGAAAAATATTTATCAACCCGCGCCCTGCTGGGGGGGGGGGTGTTTGAACACCCCCCCTTGTGGTTTTTCGCGAAGCCGTTTTTGGTACACCTTATCATACATCAATTCTACACATGTTGTGAAAATTTCAGACCAAGGTCATTCAAGGTCAGGTCACCAGGTCACTTGAAGTGACCTCACCTCATAAAAAGTTTCAATGTCTGTCATAGCTACACCGAGCGACCGATCGCTTTGAAACTTTCAGCGATTGCTAAGAACAATAGCATGTACAAATGTATATCTCAGAATTTTGATATCGATGACCTAAGGTCAGGTCAATTTTGCGATCTCCCCATTA